AGCAAAGTTGAAGGATGATGCCATTACTTTTTTTTATTATTTTTAAATGGAGAGAAGATAAGGAGTGGTGTCTAAGTATTACTTTCAAGTCATTAGAGGATTGAGTCTTCAAAAGAATTCCTTGATTTAGCCAATAAAATAAAGTGTCTTTTGCTTTGGCTTTCTACAGGTAATATATAAAAGATTCACCATTTTGAACCAGATTTGCTTGTTGGCAATTTCTTAAGAAAAAAGTACTGGGAAATATGTTTTTTTATTAATCACAGAATTACAGAATGGTTTGGGTTGGAAGGGACCTTAAAGATCACCTTGTTCCACCCCCCTGACCTGGGCAGGGACACCTTCCTCTATCCCAGGTTGCTCCAAGCCCCGTCCAACCTGGCCTTGAACACTCCCATGGGTAGGGAGTCCATATTCCAGTCCATATTCTGGTCCTTCAAACCAAAAGAGAGATGGTATTTACTGCTCTGATGCCAGAGAATATGGGGGAGACCAAAATTAAATCACCCCTACCCAGGTGCATCAGAAGATACCAAAGTGTTGGTAAGAGAGAGCTTTTTAGAGCCATTTCTTTGCCTGTTTTCTACGTTTGGGCAAATAACAGCTTTCCAGTGGAAATGTGTTCATATGCCATGGCAATCTCAACCTGGGAATCATTCCTTTTGCAGGATCTGGGAGAGCCTCACAGCTCCTTTTTCTTTCTCCCATCCTCTGGCCACAAATTTCTCTTTCATATAAAACAAGTGCTGAGCTCTTGAGGGCATTTAGTGATTAATTGGTGTTCTGGTCTCTGCTGGCACAGCGAGGACATTTTATGTTCTCCAGAGTGGTCCAGGCCGAGGTGCTTTGGTCAGCCAAAGTGAAAGACCTGGATATAATCCCTGCCCAACATCTAAACACACTCTTAGAGCTCCAGGTGCCCTCATCCTTCCTCATCCTCCAGAAATAAGAACTTACAGCAACTGGCCAGTGCTCACACAGGATTTGGGCTTATACACTTTGGCACCACATCCAAAACCCACATATTTTTGTCTCTTGCCAGAGAAGTGGAAATTCTCTACTTTTTTTATCAGCTCTGAAATCGGTCTCTCTGTCTAAACATCTCTTTGATGACAGATTTTGTGGCTGTTCCCAGCATAAAAGCTGATTTTCACTGTCTCAGGCACCAGCAGCAAGTGCCAGTCCTACAACTCCGGGGTATGTTTGTTCCTGTCCCTGTTGGATGTGTTCCTGATCACCTGGTCAGGGAGACAGGTATTTTCCCAGGGCAGGGGCGGAGTTTCCATCCCTGGAGGGATTTAAAAGCCATGTGGATGTGGCACTTGGGGACGTGGGTTAGTGGTGGCCTTGGCACTGATGGGAAATGGTTGGACTCAATGATCTTAGAGGTTAGAGGTCCAACCTAAATCATTCCATGATTCCTCAGGGGTAATATATTTTCTTAACAACTTTAGGAACCTGTGTATGATCTCAGCCTCAAATGAAAAGGAGGATCAGGCCCTACTGACAGATTTACCTATTTATTATGTCCTTCAGGAAGAGATTTATCCCCCGGAACTACCCTAAAAACTGTCCCTAAATTGTCAGGTTGAATGACTTTAAGACTTCTTGGAGCACAGTTGGAGGAAACCAGCATTTTCCTGATGTTCTGTAGGAATTATTCCTTCTGCCAGTTAAGAACTTAAGCACAAATACCTTGTGGAATTTTTAGAGAGCCAAGCACAGGTCACTTTTTATTCAGTAAATGTGGTTTTTTTAAAAGACAAGATTGTTAAGTTTGTTAAGCTCAATCATCCTACCACAGTTGTTTAGTAAATTGAATTTCTTGCCTTGTTTGCTACTCATTGAGTTAGTGTATCTCAGAAAATAGGACTTGCCAGAGGGTTTTAAAAAGTCAGTGATGGACCCTTGAGATGTCAGTTTGTCTGTGTGAGGGACATTACAAATAACAACAGCAACAGTGGCACTTGGTTGTGTCTATTACAAGGAATTTATTTTGTCATCCCAAAGTCTTTGTGGCTTAGATAATATATTAGTTATGTATTGGGGGAGATTTAGGTACAAATTAATTTAAGTAACAAGTGAAAATAAATGACATTTTAGCTTAGATGTTTGATCACATTAAAGCTGCACTTTGAGATAATACATAAAATGTCTGTTCAGTCTTCTTCGTTCCGTGGGGGTGGTTTAACAGTCCAAACCAGCATTTGGTTCTGGGAGGGGCTGTTATTGCACAGCCTGAATCCTCCTTAGCTTTCTACTTTCATCACTGACATGGTTCAGCTCTGGGAGTTTTTGTATCCTGGGCTGATCCCACAGCGTGGGCAGCAGGGGAGGGGGGGATTCTGCCCCTCTGCCCCCTCAGGTGAGACCCCACCTGCAGAGCTGCCTCCAGCCCTGGGGAACAACAGCACAAGGATGTGGAGCTACTGGAGTGGGTCCAGAGGAGGCCACAGAGATGCTCCAAGGGCTGGAGCCCCTCTGCTCTGGAGCCAGGCTGGGAGAGCTGGGGGGGTTCACCTGGAGAAGAGAAGGATTCAGGGAGACCCGAGAGCCCCTTCCAGTGCCTAAAGGGGCTCCAGGAGAGCTGGAGAGGGACCTGGAACAAGGGATGGAGAGATAGGACACAGGGAATGGCTTCCCACTGCCAGAGGGCAGGGAGAGATGGGATGTTGGGAAGGAATTGTTGGCTGTGAGGGTGATGAGGCCCTGGCACAGGTTGCCCAGAGAAGCTGTGGCTACCCCATCCCTCTTCAAGGACAGGTTGGATGGGGCTTGGAGCAACCTGGAATATTGGAAGGTGTCCCTGCCCATGGCAGGGGTTGGAATGAGATGATCTTTAAGGTTCCTTTCAACCCAAACTGTTTTATGATTCTCTGATTCTATGAAAATGTCTGTCCTTGATCTAAAGCCCTCAGGAATGGAATGTGGCTTTAGGTGCATTGCTCAAAGGAGAAACACTCTTTACTGCTTGAATATTGCCTTATTTCCCATCTGCATTTTTTTACACTTTGGCTTTCAATTACCCAACCTCATTAAACAACTTTGACAAGACTAAAGATCTTTATTTCTCTGGTTTTTTTCCCCCTCTCTAAATGTATTTTTAAACCAGAGTCAGTTCTTCCTTTAAATTTCTCTTCAATAAATTAATTTAGCTGACTTGCTTCTCCGTTACTCTGTCCTGGTGGCACATACATATATTAAATAATCTTATCTTCTCTCCCAGAGCACATGAGCTTGTGCTAAACTCATAGTCTTAAACTTATGGTAGAAATTAGCCCACTGTGGAGTGATCCCCCATTCAGAGAGATTTTTGTGATCTACTCCCTAGTTGATTGTTAAATAGTTTGTTAAGCAGTAAATAGATTTGTAAAATGTTAATGCTTAAGCTCAGACATCAATTAGCATTAACATATCCTGGCAAAACTAAGGCTTTCCTGACCTGGACTCATTTTGTTCCTAATTCTTCAGTAGCACTGGATTTACAAGAGCTCCCTGAAAAGCATTTGCAAAGGAATGAGCAAAACATTATCTGCCTGGCAGTTGACACTATTAAGTATTGATGAAGAGCACAGTCACTGTTTTTAGGTGTAATGATACAATTTACCAGTGAAAACGTCACCCAAATAATCAGAAAACTCTGTAACGTGTTTTGGTTTCAGATTCTTTTATGTAACTGTTGGTCATCAGAAGGAATTTTAGCCCTAATACGTATTTTAAAGTATTTCTGTATCTCTTTGTTCATAAATATTTCAGCCAGTTTTCATTTGTTTATTGTCCTGTCCTTTAAATCGTTTTTCTGTTGCCTTCTAAAGACAAAGAGAAATAAAACTTACCAGGATTTAATGAATAATAATATATTGATGTATCTTTTTCTCCAGTATCACAGGCTCTTTCTCTACCCTCTGCCCTTTGCTTGGGGGCTAGCAGGACATATATTTTCTTTTCCATTTCATCTCCATAGTCCTGAGAGTTGATGGAAATCTTCAAAGGGGCCTCTGTAGTCTGGTGGCAGTCACAAGCCAAACTCTGATGATTTCCAGTTTCACTTGTTTTTTTTCACTCACCCAAGTTCATCAACACCACCAGACAAAACTCAGAATTAACACATTTTATTACAGCAAAGCAAAAAATCATGTTCTTGAGTGCAAAATTGGGAACAAGGTGTGTTCCCAACAAGGTGCATAACACCAAACCCGATGCGGGCTGCTCACCTGAGGGGGGCAATCATCCTCTCTCTGCTTTGACCCATTATTTTATAGTTTCACAGGTAGAATCCATCTCACATTTTGGAGATTTGTACATGGGCAACTTCATACAACCAGCCTTTCGAAGGGATTATTTAAATATCACAAAACCTTTGTGCCTAAATTACCCATCCAGTCTGGCCTTGAACCCCTCCAGGGATGGGGAGTCCACAACTTCTCCAGGCAACCTGTGCTGAGAGTTACTGCTTTTCTCCAAAGGTATTTTGAACCTTTCTGCCATTAATTTGTACTCCTCCAGCACAAGAGAAATTATAAGCACTTGGTAAAATCAACATTTTTTGGTAAAATCAACATTTTTGGTAACTATTTGCATGGTTCAAAATGAATATTTTCAGATGGATTGCAGGGAGTGCAGCTGAATTACTGAAGGTTTTGCATCTGGATTTGACTGCTGTGTGATGTAATAAATGTGAAATGCTCATATTTCATTTGCATGTCATTTAAATGGATGTATCAATGTTGAATCTCTTCGGGACTCTTTAACCAAAGGCTTGGGCTTCCTAAAAATACCTGCTGGAAGAGGCTGTGCCAATCCAGCTGCATGGAACATCCTAAATTTAGTGGAAGGTGTCCCTGCCCATGGCAGAGCATTGGAACTAGATGGTTTAAGGTCCTTTCCAACCCAAACCGTGCTAAGATTCCATGAAATTCAGGTGTTTTGACCTTCTCCCAGCAGCCCAGGGAGGGGGAGAGGTTGATCCTCATGGTATTCCATGTTTTCTCTCTTTCCAGGGATGAGGCAAGGCAATGACGTTGGCACTCAGTATCGCTCGGCTATCTACACGTTCTCCCAGGAACAGATGGAAGCTGCCTTGAGGTCTAAGGAGGAATATCAAAAGGTAACACTGGGAAGGGTGTGGAATTCCTTCCCATATGAGCAGAGGTCAAAGATGTCACCAGTGAGCACAACATCACTCCTCGTGCTGTCCGTTTTCTGTGTTGCTACTGGAGCTCCTCGTTCCAATAATGAACTTGCATCACAGTTGCTTTAAATTCCAACTTTTATGAATGTGTTGGTTTGTGTGAGTCATTTTATAACCATTCAGAAAAACAGGTCCTTATGCAGAGATATTTTGAATCTCTGGAAGAGATTTTTTTCATGTGGCTGCACCAGAGCAGAAAACCGTGGTCCTAAAGCTATTCCAGCATCTCTGAACCCTGTAGGTTCAGAAGGGTGAACCCAAAATCTCAGACCCAAGAGTTCCTGAATGTTGAGGGAAGGTCCTGATCAATATTTGAGCTGCATGACTCAGGATCACCCACCTGCTGCTTATAAGTTGCTTCTATGAAGCCATTCCATAAATGTCTGTGATGGGATGTGACAGCCCATGACTTACTAAGAGTATTTGTTTTGACACAAGGATTTGTGTGAGAGAAGATCAACCAATTCCCTTTCTGTACAGCCCTGTTTTTCAGGGAAGATGGATTCTGTCTCTTCCCTGCCACATAAGCCATTATTTAACTAAAGGCAGGGGGATTAGTGTCCTGCAGTGTCTCTGCGTTGTGGTTGCTGTCTGAGCTGCCTCGTGCTCTTTTCAAAGCAAGATCCAGATTCTACAGAAGAGAAATAGAAATTCTTATGACTTTTATGAAATAGAAATTATTTTCATTTCTTTGGAATATAAATGCTTATAATTTATATGAAAAAAACCCACTCAGCCTGGGTCATCAGATCACTGGACTTAAATAGTGCTAAAAGAATCTCAATGTTCATATGCTGAATTATATGATGACTTCGCTTGTGTTATGTTAAAGGACCAGGAGCCGAGGTGAATATTTAATGTTAAAAGTAAACAACTGTATTTTTTATATGCCAGTCAGAAGGCCCAAAGAGGAGGTTCAGGTGCTGAAACCCTGTGCAGCAGTTTGGGGTTCCCCAATGTGTGTGTGACTGGGGGGGTTGAGCTCTGGGGGAGCTCGTAGGGCTGGTTCCTACCTACAGTCGGAATTATTTTGTGTGCAAAGAGGTGCTCTGAACTGCAAGTAAATAAACTGAAAGTCTTTCTTAGCAGTGTGAGAACTGTGCTTGTAAATGAGGTGTTCAATGACATATTTTCTCCTGAGTAGCTGAACACATGGGGAGAAGTCAGTCTTGCAGATGTTTATGTGATTTAACAGAGTGGTTTCGCAAGGTTCACTGTTCATATTTGTCATTCAGAACTTTTTTTTCTCGTTATTTCCCTTAGATCCACTGCTTTTTCAAATTCCTTTTATTCCTTTCTGTTAGAATCTGCTGACCAATATCACCCTGCAAATCTTACAGCTTTAATTTGCTTTCCCATCTCTTTTATTCTCTGCTGTTATTTGTCATTAAATAAATACTGACATGAAAGCAAAATTGCAAGGTAGGAGATTGCAAGATGATATTACAGAAATTTCCATCATCAAATAGATTTCCTTAATGGCACCATTTAAAATTTACCTACTTTGAAGTCTATCACCATTTGAAAAGTGTGTATAATTAGTACATTTATATAATTAGGCACAACTGTAAGTGAGCACATGTAGAGTTTGTTTTTGCACTGAAGTGGAGAAGGAAGGGACGGTGTTGCCAGCTGAGGAAATACAGCAAATATGTACTGAAATTCCTTGGGGATCTGTGGTTCCTATGTATTATTAACAACAATATCTACAGTATTATCTACTGAGGTATTGCAGGAGCAGTGGAGTGGTTGCATGGGAAACACACTGAGCAAACAATTTGTTCAGGAATCCCTTTTCATATTAAATGTTTTGCATTACATGATTTTAATGTAAATCTAATACAACCACTTCCCTTATTATTGCAGCAATTTAAAATAAATATCAGGCTCTTCTGGCAGTGACACGTGCCAGATAATCATGGATAAAAACACGTGGGAATGGCACAGTGCTTGATTTTTCCATGCACCGAAGGGGGAAAGGGCTAACAAATACTGCAAGTACAATAACTGCACTGTGTATGGGTGGCTCTGGAGTTTTTTGGCACAGCAAAATTATAAACCCAAAGTGTCATTTGTTTGTTTGTTCCCTGGATAATTGTGCATGTGCTCTTGAGGTGTTTGTGAGCTGATGACCTGGAAGAGAGCTAAGAATGGCCTTCAACCAGAAAATGATATAGAGGAAGTTGGTTTTTTCCAGAAAGATGGGGAGAGTTGATAATTTAAAGGAAATAATTTTGTTTACTGAGGATAGAAACCATCCAACCCCAGTCTTGAATTCCTGCCCCCAAGACTGGCTGCCTGAGGCACTGGCTTCTCCCTGGAGGATGGAGAGTGTGTTCAACTCTGTGTTTAGCAAACAGCACGGGCTGGAAGGAGCAGAACAAACCAGTTTGGACCAAAATGGGTGTTTCAAGAGGGTTTGATCTTCAGTAGCTGTAGTTGGTCCTGCCAACCACGAGCAGGTGAAGTCAACACCTTGGTACTGGGCACTGCTGAAGCCAGACCTCAAATCCTGGGGGGCAATTTTGGGCCCCTCCATTCAGGAAAGACATTGAAGGGTTGGAGCGTGTCCAGGGAAGGGAATGGAGCTGAGGAAGGGGCTGGAGCACCAGGAACGGCTGAGGGAGCTGGGGGGGCTCAGCCTGGAGAAAAGAGGGATCAGGGGGGACCTTCTGGCTCTGCAACTCCCTGACGGAAGGGGGGAGCCGGGGGAGGGAATGGGCTCTGCTCCCAGGGAACAAAGGACAGGATGAGAGAGAATGGCCTCAATTGTGCCAGGGAAGGATTAAGTTGGATAACAGGAACAATTTCTTTCTGGAAAGGGTGGTCATCCATTGGAACAGGCTGCCCAGGGCAGTGGTGGAGTCCCCATCCCTGGAGGGATTAAAAGCCGTGTGGATGTGGCCCTTGGGGACATGATTAGTGGTGGCCTTGGCCGTGCTGGGGAACAGTTGGACTCGATCTTTGAAGGCTTTTCCAGCCTAAATGATCCTGTAATTCTATATTAAATGACAATGAAGAGGAGATTTATTACCAGCCTGGGAATGAGAGTCAGGATGTGCCCTGAGCCCAAGGATCCTGCAAGGTTGCATCTATTTCGAGTTGTGAAACTTGTTGCTGATTCCTGCAGCTGCTCCAACAGCTGAGAAATGGCATCACAGCCCTGAATATGCATCGAGCTGCGTGTCTTTAGCTGCTGATGAAGCTGAGAACATGCAGTCAGAGTCAGCCAGGGCTGATATATATTCTAATACAATAGTGTTGCTGGTAAATGGTAACACAATGTAAGTGTAATCAGAAAAACATACAGTGAGGGCCAAGGCTTGGTGAAATCACTGTGAATGAGCTGTTCCATCAGTTTTGCCTGAAGCTGAAGTTTTTTAATACAGTTGAACCTGAGGTTACTCAATTTTCAAGACAGTTGCAAGCTGGATTTGGTTTTCAAATGAATTATCAAGGCAATTGTAATCCAGGGAGTGAAATCAAGGTGGGAAGAAGTTTGTATTATTTTTTTTTTCGGAATCAGAGGCTGCATTTGTTTTGTGAAGCACTAACTGTGTGTTTTAAGTTTCCAAGAATATACTGAGTCCCTCCCCTCCTTTGAATCACAAAATGTTTTGGATTGGAAGGAACCTTAAAGCCCATCTCATTCCAACGCCCTGCCATGGGCAGGGACATCTCCCAGTGTCCCAGGTTGTTCCAAGCCCTGTCCAACCTGGCCTTGGACACTTCCAGGGATCCAGGGGCAGCCACAGCTTCTCTGGGCAACCTGTGCCAGGGCCTCACCACCCTCCCAGGGAAGGATTCCTCCCCAGTATCCCATGTAACCCTGCCCTCTGGCAGTGGGAAGCCATTCCCCCTTGTCTTGTCCCTCCATCCCTTGTTCCAAGTCCCTCTCCAGCTCTCTTGGAGCCCCTTTAGGCTCTGGAAGGGGCTCTGAGGTCTCCCTGAGCCTTCTTTCCTCCAGGCTGAACCCCCCCAGCTCTCACAGCCTGGATCCAGAGCAGGGGTGATGGATGGAGCTGTTCTGCAGGATAAGGGAAACAGGGAACCAGCACTGGCCAGCAGAAGATGCAACAGTCTCTGCAGCTCAGCAGTTGAACAGATATTGTGAAACTTCCATAAACTTGTGGGATGATGTGGGAACAAACCAGCAATACCCTCAGGTACAAACCCAAGAGTTTTATATTTGATATTAGAGAAAAGAGATTGAAAAACTGGAGTTTTCTGGCCAGTGCAATGAGCTTTGGAGCAGCAGCTACAAGAGATGAGGGGGTTGGGATTGTATTTGTGAAGCTGGAGTAAAGGTTCTTCACAGACCTTTGAGATCTGCAGTTCTGAGTGCTTAATTCCATGAAGGAATGCCTTGTGGAGTGAATTTCCAGCATTCATCTGTGTTTTTATCTGATGTACTGTGTGAGTTTAGAACAGGCTTCGCCTGGGAGGTGATTTTTCATGTGATTTTTGGCTGGGAAAAGTTAAATAGCTCTTTGAAAATTAGATTGTTTTTATTAAAGCAATACAGTAGTCAATAAAAAAAATAACACCTGCTTACTCCTCTTCAAATTCTGTCTAATTCAGAGCTTTATGTATCAAATTATCTCTGCTTCACTCTGATGTGAATGGCAGTGACTCGATTCCTGATTGATGGTTGGTGGCTCTCAGGAAAACAAGCAAAGCTGATCTGATAAGCTGAGCCATTCTTTGTTTTGTAATCACTTCTCTGTGCTACAGAGATACCCTTTGAATGTTCATCCCTCTCTGAGAAAGCTGCATTTGGCTCTGGATGAGGAGGTTTTGTGTGAACAGTTGCAAACTCTTTTCATGTTACTGTAAATGGCAGAAAATTGGAGTTCTTTGTCACTCCAAGAAAATTTGGTCACCTCACAGCAGAAAACTAATACTAATACATTTCC